CGATTCGCCCTCTTCGTCCTGCACGAATCGGCGGTAGGGACAGAGGACGTGCACACACTCACGAAAGCATGTGCACATGTCCAAAACTGTGTGTGGACAATCCATGTTTGTACAAATAGGTGTGTACATGTATGTGTTATTATGTAAAAAGTACATATATATATATTTATAAATCTATATTTGCGCAGGGAGGGAGGCAGGGAGAGAGAGAGAGAGTGAGATAGAAAGACAAGACATGTGCAACCGCAAATTTGCACACATGTAGAAACACACATGCGCATCCAAGCAAATATCTGCCCCGGATTCCAATACAAATTGAGGCAGGGCCGTGGGGAGTCACATTCCAATTTCTTGCTGTGTTTTAACCACTGCCTGCAGCAGGCAATCAATCTTTTGGCCGGACCCCACTTTCCACAACAAATAGGAGGAAACAATAAACGATGCAAACGATGTAAGCAACAACAACAACAACAACAACAACAACAACAACAACAACAACAACAACAACAACAACAACAACAACAACAACAACAACAACAACAACAACAACAACAACAACAACAACAACAACAACAACAAAACTCTTCTTTCCCACCAAAAACGAGTATGTAAAGCATAGGTTGCTTTCTGCTCCCCTGCTCAAAGTTCTAAAAGCTTTTAGTGGTTCAATATGGAAAGCCCTCAGAAGTTGGTTGGATCAAGAAGAGTTTAAAGCCCAAACATCCATGCACCCCAGCGGCTGTGGCCGGGGCCTGTTTCCCTGGTCCACCCCCCCCCTCCCTCGCCGAGTCCTTCGCCTTGCGCCGCACCTTACCTCCAGACGGTGTTTTTTCGGGGAGACACAGCCATGCACCGACTTGGATGGGAATATGTATGTGTGTGTGTGTCTTTATTTGTATATACATCTGTGCTGTTATGTACTGTATTTTTGTGTGTATATCTATAGGTGTATATATATGGATATGTGCATGCGTTACCCAATTGCCTCCTGGAGGTAGGGCCTTCGGCCCATCTCTCAGCTATCGGCTTCGGAACCGGCCAGTGGGAAGACCTGCAAGAGTTCAGCTCAACATGGAACCCGAAACAGGGGCTGCCTGGCATTCCTGGATTCCCCATGAAAAGCTGATCAATTTACCGGTGGTACATCCCTTTTGGAGGGGGGCCACTTGAGGTTCCAAAAAGGGACATTGAGGAAATCCTGCAAAACCAGCAAAACCCCACCATTTTTTAGGACTGGAGGGGACCCACTTTTGTTTGCTTTCCGTGTGACTTTTTTTAAGTGCCTTGGCGATGTTCGCCTTGCGCGCGCCATCGCACGACAGCTCTTCAGGCAGCTAAGCCCATGGAATCCCCGCTGCAGGATGTTTTGGAGGAGTTTAAAGGGGAACCCTTCCAGAAAAAAGAAGAAGAAAAAAGGGCGCCACATGGCGCCACTGGGTGCATCATCTTACAAGAAGTCCCCGAGAAATGGCTGGAAGCTGCGAGGCAACTAACTCATAGAGCTCGGTGTGCCTGTGCGCTGTGGATCCACGACATCCCTTCGCACCGCTGCAGAAACCCTGGAAGGATGAATCCCCTGTAAATGCCAAAGAAAAGTTGTGGTTCCAAGTTGTGGTTTCAAGAAGTGGTGCGCGAAGAGCGGAGTTCGCAACCACCCGCGGTGGCTCCTCAAAAATGGCCCAGCCCAGGGCTGTGGGGAATGGAATCCACTTCTGTGATACAACAGAAAGGCCCTAACCCCAAAGACTCTTTTCTTCATAAGGGGGATTCCAACTTGTACAGAAGTGGTTGGAGAAACCCCTTGTGATCCCCTTACCCCTTAAAACTCCAAGGATTTACAGACATATAGCCCATGTTACCCAAAAAGTTGAGAAAAGTTTCGTGTTTTTAAGAGGTAAGTCCCACCACCCTGGCCCACAATCCGAGCCCAAGCCGGGCCCAAGCCGAGCTGCAGGCCATGCCCACGCGCAGCCCCTGGCGCCAGGCAGCGCCATCCTGCTGCACCCGCACCGCGGTGCTGCGGCCGTCCGGGCCCTTGCCGGGGAGGTGCGGGGAAAGTGCCTGGGGCCTCCATCATCCCTTACATGACCCCTTGATATTGGGCGATGACCCCTTGATTTTGGGTGATGACCCCTTGATTTTGGGTGATGACCCCTTGATTTTGGGTGATGGGCCCTTGATTTTGGGTGATGACCCCTTGATTTTGGGTGATGGGTGATGACCCCTTGATTTTGGGTAATGACCCCTTGATTTTGGGTGATGACCCTTGATTTTGGGTGATGACCCCTTGATTTTGGGTGATGACCCCTTGTTTTTGGGTGATGACCCCTTGATTTTGGGTAATGACCCTTTGATTTTGGGTGATGACCCTTGATTTTGGGTGATGACCCCTTGACTTTGGGTGATGACCCCTTGATTTTGGGTGATGATGACCCCTTGATTTTGGGTGATGATGACCCCTTGATTTGGGTGATGACCCCTTGATTTTGCTTGATGGCCCCTTGATTTTGGGTAATGGCCCCTTGATTTTGGGTGATGGCCCCTTGATTTTGGGTGATGACCTCTTGATTTTGGGTGATGGCCCCTTGATTTTGGGTGATGGCCCCTTGATTTTGGGTGATGACCCCTTGATTTTGGGTGATGGCCCCTTGTTTTTGGGTGATGACCCCTTGATTTTGGGTGATGGCCCCTTAATTTTGGGTGATGACACCTTGCTTTTGGGTGATGACCCCTTGATTTTGGGTGATGACCCCTTGATTTTGGGTGATGACCCCTTGATTTTGGGTGATGACCCCTTGATTTTGGTTGATGGCCCCTTGATTTTGGGTGATGACCCCTTGGTTTTAGGTGATGACCCCTTGATTTTGGGTGATGACCCCTTGATTTTGGGTGATGACCCCTTGATTTTGGGTGATGACCCCTTGATTTTGGGTGATGGGTAATGACCCCTTGATTTTGGGTAATGACCCCTTGATTTTGGGTGATGACCCTTGATTTTGGGTGATGCCCCCTTGATTTTGGGTGATGACCCCTTGTTTTTGGGTGATGACCCCTTGATTTTGGGCAATGACCCTTTGATTTTGGGTGATGACCCTTGATTTTGGGTGATGACCCCTTGACTTTGGGTGATGACCCCTTGATTTTGGGTGATGATGACCCCTTGATTTTGGGTGATGACCCCTTGATTTGGGTGATGACCCCTTGATTTTGCTTGATGGCCCCTTGATTTTGGGTGATGGCCCCTTGATTTTGGGTGATGGCCCCTTGATTTTGGGTGATGACCTCTTGATTTTGGGTGATGGCCCCTTGATTTTGGGTGATGGCCCCTTGATTTTGGGTGATGACCCCTTGATTTTGGGTGATGACCCCTTGATTTTGGGTGATGACCCCTTGACTTTGGGTGATGACCCCTTGATTTTGGGTGATGACCCCTTGATTTTGGGTGATGACCCCTTGATTTTGGGTGATGGCCCCTTGATTTTGGGTGATGACCCCTTGGTTTTGGGTGATGACCCCTTGATTTTGGGTGATGACCCCTTGATTTTGGGTGATGACCCCTTGATTTTGGGTGATGACCCCTTGTTTTTGGGTCCCTTGATTTTAAGTGATGGCCCCTTGATTTTGGGTGATGACCCCTTGCTTTTGGGTGATGACCCCTTGATTTTGGGTGATGACCCCTTGATTTTGTGTGATGACCCCTTGATTTGGGTGATGACCCCTTGATTTTTTGATTTTGGGTCTTGATTTTGGGTGATGACCCCTTGATTTTGGATGATGACCCCTTGATTTTGGGTGATGACCCCTTGATTTTGGGTGATGACCCCTTGACTTTGGGTGATGACCCCTTGATTTTGGGTGATGACCCCTTGATTTTGGGTGATGACCCCTTGATTTTGGGTGATGGCCCCTTGATTTTGGGTGATGACCCCTTGATTTTGGGTGATGACCCCTTGATTTTGGGTGATGACCCCTTGATTTTGGGTGATGACCCCTTGATTTTGGGTGATGACAAGCTGCCCTCGGGGATGAGCAAGTCGGGGTTTCCCGAACCAAGTCAAAAAAGCATTGGCGCCACTGAACTGCCCTAAGGGTCATGATCCCTCTGATGCACACCCCCGGACCCTCCAATGGAGAACCCCGACCAATTCCTCAGGGGCCCTAGAGAACAACCAGTTTTGAAGTCCCAAAAACAAACGAGACCCGTAGGGAAACCCAAAAAGCGACAAAAGTCCGAAACGGAACTCAGAGCAGCCAATGCTTCCATCTGGCGCCCTCGTCTTCCGGCCGATGCCTCCGAAAAGGTTCTTCGTTGCCAGAAACGCCTTTCGCACGAAAAGCGAGACCCCGCCTTCTGCACCTCCACGTCCGCGCGGCGGTCTCTGGCATTTTGGTAGCGCACCCGGCGCTCCTCCCGCTCCGTGACCTCCAGGGTCAAGGCCCATTTTTCTCAGAGATGCCAGGCAAATCAAATCCAGGGAATTCAAAAAACAACTGGATGTTTTCCAGGAATTTCATGGAAATGCCCCATATCCCCATATCCCCTGGATGGTTTGCAGGTATTGGATGAAGAGTTTTGGAACCTTGACCCACCACGTGTTTCAAGACAAAAGAAGGCAAACGAAAAGTAATCCGATTTCTTGTGGCCCCCAACCGGACATAAGGACCTTCATGAGAGCTCGTTTGCAGATCTCGTTTTATGCTATTTGGCTCATGGTCATGGCCCCCCTGAACCTGAAATCCTCTATGGGCTCCATTGGCCCAAGTTTGAAGATTCACATCCCCAGGCAAATGGATCAACTCAAGCATACTCAAGCCTCAAGGCTTCGACCCCCCCCTTTTCAAACCCACCCCGGCAGCAAAACAAGAAGGCACATGCTATTTCGAGCCCTTGAAGGCTGCAAAAGAAAACAGACTCCACAGGCAGGGCCTCCAGCAATCCAGGGGCTACCCCTGCTGGACAAATCGGTGAGCTCGCCACCGATAAGGGCAGAGACGGGGGGCCAAGAGGAGAAGTTGGTCACTGAGAAAGCCGGGATTCCATGCTGAGCCTAAAATAAAATTTGCAAATGTTTCAGCAACCCGAAACATAACAAACAAAACATGGCAAAAGGAGCTTGAACTACAGATCTCATTCCCCTGGCCAGACAAATGGACAGAACCGGTGAGTTGAGCATTTGCTTGTCAAAATCAAACCATCCAAACATCGGGAGACCCCGTTTTACCTGCCCAAGAGAACACTGGGTGGAGAGAGGTGCCTTCGGCAAGTCTTTGCGCTGGCTCACGAGCACCAGCGCGTGCTTGGACTTCGGAGTCGTGTGGATCATGCCGAAGCGGCAGCATCCTGCGGGCTTTGGGTTGAAGCGGATTTCTGGACCCGGTCACTCGGTAGTTGTCGTGTGTGGTTTTAAAGCGAAACTGGAAGGAAACCCACCATTTTGGGGGTCCGCCTATGCACATGTGGCCGAGACTCCCCCCCACAAAAAGAAAGAAAGACGTGCCTTCTGGTGGGTTTCTCTTTAAACCAACCCAGAAAGGTACCCTCAAACGGGTGGAAAAAAACATTTTTCCCCACAAAGTTCAAAGTTTAAGGGGGTGTGTGATCGTACTTGTTTCTAAAATATACAAGAGGCTGCAGCCTACACTGCGACCCCCAACAAAACCCAACTTGGGGCTGATTGCATTTTGATTGGGGCACCCACCACGCAAGAAGGAACTCGCTTCCTGAGCGGACTTGGCCACAAGAAGTCAAAATGCTTCACGCTATATGGATTCTGATTCCGGCAATCGTGGGCATCCATGCGGGTGTCTCAAAGTAGGGCATCCCTGCTGTGTGGCCCCTTCAAAAGTTGCATTTGCCTGCTGGTTTCCCTTGAAACTGCCACTTTTGGACGGAGGTTCCTTAAAAAGGGAAATGAAGGAAATCCTAACTTCAACTCTTCCAAAAAATGGGTCCAACTTCTTGAGACCTCCCCCCCCACATTGCTGCCAATAACCAGCCGACCCAAGCGACGATTCCGAGAGACGTCGCCCGGCCTCCCGGCTTCGCCTGCACCGCCGGCGCCCGGTCCGCAGATTCGTCGCCGCCGCCCAGAGCCAGCGCGTCTTGCAGCGCGCCCTCCTGCGACGATGGTTCCCCTTGGTTCCCAAAAAAAGTGATGCTGGGCCGGGCCACTTAAGACATCCTCAAATTAGAAAGTGGTTGCCCACTTCAGGTACAAGTCATAATCCAATAGGACTTCTAGGGGTACCTTCCATTTCCATTCTTTCCAGGCATCCTTCTTTCTAATAAACCAATTTAAGCCCTGGGGAAACAGATCCGGTTTTTGAAAAGAACGATGGTTGAAAAGAATTGGGAATAAACCCATAGAAGATTGAGTGAGATCTTTTACTCTTCCTGGGTGGGTGGTCCAAAAACATCCAGACTTCTTGTTGAAAAATTGAAATGGTCCACTTGGGTTGACGTTGGAAAGAGAGCAAACATGTTTTTTTTGGCAGTTAGATGGGATTTCCCACTGAACCGCAATGAGCAAAGCGTGAAATGCTTCCCAACAACAACCATGTCTAAACCATTATATAAAGAAGGTCACAAGTCCGGCAACTCGGGAAGCAAGGTTACTCTGCCACCCGGACTCCAGCTTTACACGGATGGGACGCCACACAGGCCAAATCTGGCTTCGTCTCGGGAATCGGCAGCCTGATGAATTCATTGCAAGGGGCAACCTGAAAATGGCCCGAACCTTGACCAATCCCCGCCCCTCAAATAGAACTAGGTCCTCCAGTAGAGGGGTTAGAATAAGGCTACCAACCTTTTTTCTGTAGTCTATTTTAGCAGACAAAAACCTCCCCCCAAAAAAGAATCGGTAAAAGGGCACCTAGCTGGGGGACCTAGAGAAGGTTCACCTCGCTATCACCCCTGGGATCTTGACAAAAGCTTGGCCTCTTAAATAAGCTGGGGCCCGCCAAGCGCCACCTTTGGCAGAGGAAACTCCTTTTCGTGCCCTCTTCTTCGGATTTCATGTGCACCTACAGGAGGGGGGTTGTCAAACATATGGCCGCTTGCTGGGCCCTGGTGTCGCTTTCTGAGGCCCCTTTTAAAGAGCTTTACCATAATTTTGACCCACCCAGGCACATTGCTTTTTTTACATAGGCTTAAACCCCGGAATCGGCTTCCCTTGAAAAATCGACAGCCCTGGGTTCAAGTCTAGAACAGCCTACCTAAAAAACCAACTTGGTATGGTAGTAGAACACTCTGTTTTCGTGCGCCCCCCCCCCCCTAAAATTAACAGAACCAAAGAACCCAAAATGCCCAAAAACATGCCAACAGTGAAGCTACCAGCTACCTGTAGTCAACCTAGGTCCTCCAGTAGAGAGGTTAGAACAAAGGGTGCCCTTTTTTCTGTAGTCTATTTTAGTAGGGGCACCCTCCCCCTTTTAAAGGGTAAAAGGGCACCTAGCTGGGAGGCCTAGTCAACAAGCATGGGAGACAAAAAGGCCGCCGACCTCCGTCCACCTTTTCCGTGCCTCGTAGAGCAGGCACATCTGCCCCGGCGCCCAGCGCGCCGCTTTGCAGGGCTGACCCGTGGGCGTCAGGACCAGCAGAATCTCCGAGCTGGCGACCTCCGGCGGTCCGGCCGGCTTCGCATCCGTGCGAATTTGCCTCTTGCGCCCCGGTCAAAAAATGAAAAATACGGTGGGTGGATGCGAAATCCGTTCCAGGGCACCGTGCAGAAACCCAGGTTATGAAGATTCACCTGTACATACCAAACAATGGTTGCCCAGAAGATAACCCCCTCACACATTCGGTGGGTGGACGAAATCCACTTCGCACCACTTGGACTCCATGGTTGAAACCATAGTCTGTTGGTATTTACAGGGAAATCAAATCCTTCCAGGGCTTCTTTGGTGGTGCAGGATCGCCCCGGGTAAATGCCCTGGAAACGCAAGGAACGAGGCGCGTGCCACAGAAGGACCACGAAAAAAGTGTGGAGCCCTTCTTGGTGTCCCTCTAAAAACAATACTGTGGATGGTTGCGAAATCCGTTCAGAAATTTTGGAAGGATTCGATTCACCTGCAAATACCCGTTATGGTTTCAACCATGGTTTCCAAGTTGTGCAGGATTTTGTCCATCCACAGTATGTCCCGCACAACTTTCTTTTGCCAACATCATGGGCCTCTAGGCGGGTGGCTACGAGAAAGGGGATAAGCCCAGGAGCCAAGGATACGCCCGGCCTTCACGCCTTCAGGGCTTCATAAGGGGAGAAAGTCCCCCCTTTCCCATAGCCCAAAGCCCTTGGGGGGTCCATGAGAACACTCGAAACAAGGAAAAATCCCCCCCCCCCCCCCGGTTGTTCATGTTTCTCACTTTTTGCGGGTTCAATACGGAAAGCCCTGAATTTCAACCCAACAAGTCAAAAAGTCCGAAGATCTGCTTCCAGGTACCCAATCTCGGTTGCTTTCTGCTCCCCTGCTAAAAGTTTAACTTTTAGTGGTTTAATGGACAAACCCATTAGTTGGCAAAAAGTTGAAGTCCGCACCAAAGCAATCTCAATCAACATTTGCTGCTTCCACGTCTTTCATGTCTGCTCTTTCGGGTCTGGGGCGCTTTGAACCACGCGGGCTTCGGCGGCAGGCCCATCATCTTCGAATCCTTGGCCGCCTGCATGGACGGAGCCCCATGTGGTATTTGAATGGTCTACGCAGAACCATGTAAAAATTAAACAAAGGCTATTGAACCCGTTTATGGTTAGGATTCTCCCTTACTAACCTTCATCTAGGTTTTTGTTAGCTGGTTTTGTTGCTATGGGGGGGGAAGCTGGGCAGTTCAAAGTGGGGATCCCTAGTCTTAGTCCGTACTCTGCAGTGGGCCACCATTGCAACACCCATCTGGAATCACTAAGGATTGACTTTGATCTACGAAAATACGTGGGAGCAGGAACTGGAACTGGAACAATCTGTATGATATTGGGGTCCCCATGGTAAAGAAGCACAACGTCATGATACCACCATGTCTGCTTCGACTGGCCCATGTGGAAATACATGTTTGCACGACAGAGTCTGTTTACAGCACACTGCAAAGCTGGAATTACCTATGACTGCGAAGCTGGAATCAATACCTGTGACATAGGTATTAATGTGTGGGGCCGAAATGGGACATCCGCAATGACCCAATGACATGCTCCCTTGGAGAAGTGTAGCAGGCAATATGGCCGGACCCAAAACATTGGGTGGCTTGGGCCACGACACAAGGAAACAGTTTGGCTCCGGTACAGAGAACGCCAGAAATCCACGTCTCTAGCCGTGTTCCCTACAACTTTGGTTTTTCTGCAGCCCCAGTAAAAATGAACAGAAACAAAAACATGTAAACAAAAAACAAAACACAAAACGTGTTGGCCGTCTTTTAGAGCATCACTTTGTAAAGCTGGCTAAAAGCAGCCTTTTAGAGCAGCACGTTTCAACCGAACATGTTGACTCCACTTGGGTGCTCGGCCAAGCTAGCAAGTTGGTAACCTAGGTGAGGACCCCTTACAGGTCACCAAACCTAGGCTGGAAAAATCGGACCCCAGCAAAAAAAAACAATATCTTTCTTGCTGGGGTCCGTGGAAAACAAAAGGACGGACCCCCCAAAAAAGCAAAAAACAAAAAAAAAAACAAAAAACAAAAGATAAACAAAAAAAAGGGGGGGAGGCGAAATCTCTGGCGAAGAAAAACCAGTTGGAGTTTTCAGTCGCCTCCTCTGAAGCGCGCGCCTGGAAGCTGTGGAGCCGCGCGGCTTCCGCCTGCTGCAGGTTCAGCTGCGCCGGGTCCAGCGCCGCGCCCAGGCCCTCCCGCAGCTCCTGCGGGGCTCGGGTTCGGGGTGGGGGGGGGAGACCTCTGTGGCGCACACGGAACCCGGTTGGAAGCCCAAGAAACCGGTGGAAAACGGGGGAAACAGAACCCAAATAACCCAGGAAAACAGGGAGAACGAGGGAAAGAGAACCCAAGGAACCCCGTGCAACCCAAGGAAACAGGGGAAACAAGCTGCAAAACTTTGGCAGAAAGGGGAGAAACTAGGGAAAACACGGGGGAGAAAAAAGGAGGAAACAACCATGGAGAACTCCGAGTGACAGGCGCATGTGGGTCCAAAAAGTGCGGGGCCCTGAGACTCCGAAGGCTGCGAGCTTCCGGAGTTTTCGCCATACAGAGGCACATTGCACACTCAGCGGTTCAAGAGACTCGAAAACGCTCCGAGGTCCGACTTGCTGCCGGCTTCTTTTCCCACCGCAACCATCGCAACTAGGTCCTCCAGTGCAAGGTTGAAATAAGAGTGCCCTTTCTTTCTGTAGTCGATTTTAGTAGGGGAACCCTCCCAACCAGAAAAGGGGAGAGAAGGGCAGTACTGGGAGACCTAGGCAAACTCACGTAAAGATCCTGACCTCTGCAGGTGTCCCGTTTTGGAGTTTGACCGCTTGGCTTCTTCGGTTTGGCATGTGTGGCTTCTGCGTTGTCGTCCTCCAGCATCGGCAGGGCGAAGCTGCGCCTTGGCGCGGGCGCTGAAGAATTCGCCCCCCATATTTCCAGCGACCCCTGCAAAACCAACAAGGGGCTGTGGAACACATGCACGCACGCGGGATCTTGGCCATGGAAGCTGAGACTATGAATGCGGATGAATACGGACATGTCTCAAAATGAGGAGACGCACCGATATGGCCTTGCACCCCACCGCGGTTTCCAAGATGCCAAGACCGGGACACCTGCCCACGAAACAAACATCCTCGCAAGGCGGTCATTTTCACACCACTGGGCTAAGAAAACTCTAAAAGCATTTGCCATCCTTTGCCAGCCGGCTGTGCCTCAAAATTTTCCACAGGAGGGGCAAACCGCCAGGTGTTGGCACATGTTTCCACTTGCCAGGGCAACCCATTTTGGAATTCCGGTTTTTTGAGCGAGCCACAGCCAGCCCCACGTCAGGGATCTGACTGGCCCAGGTCTGCCTGGATTAGCTTCGTGGCGGGCATCCCCGGAATGAGCATAACCCGGAGAAATATACACGTTCTATACATAAGACGGGGCGTTCCCTAAGTGATGAAACACCCCCACTAAAAGGGCACGCCCTAGCAAATCACACTTGGCGGTCCCCAAATAGGTCAGAATCAAAACCCGGTATTAAACTGGTCGTACTCCCAAAACCATGCGAATCAAGAATTCAGAAGCCGGATATCCGCAGCTCTTTATGGCAAGGGGATTGTCCCTTAACCTTCATCTACCCGGGTTTTGAGCACGAGGCTCAAAGTGATGAACCCCCACTGAATGGGCACACCCCTCCTAGCAAAATTCACATTTTTTCCGGCTTTGCTCCCCAACATTTGTCCCTGAACCTCCTAGCGAATCACATGGTTCGGCTTTGTTCCCCTATTTGCGTCCCAGCTTCAGGTACTGGTGGATGTTCTCGAACTTTTCCGGGATGGGATCCTCCACTGACAGTTCGCAGGCGTCAGACCCTGCGCTCCAGATCAAGTCCCTGCTGGTGGCGGGCCGGCTGACGGAATAGCTGGACCTCCTCGGTGGACATCGGTGGCTGTCCGCTTAGAAGCGTCCATTTGCTTTTTTGCCCCCAGGCAAAAGCTAAAAATATGTCCAATACTGCTAGATTCCCTGTCGCACCAGGGAAAAATCGCAAATATTCATTTCAGCAAATGCAAGGAAGCAGTTCATAAAACATCAACCTGAAGTCTCACTCAAAACATCGACAAGGAGTCCCTATTCAAAGTGCTAACAGCCAGCACGCAGGCGGGCCATGAGCGTCCAGACCCGGAAGGGCAAGCAAGAGAGCTTCGATTTCCGTCTGAAAAAAAGTGCCACGTGCTAGTTTCAGGCTGCCTGGAATTGCGGGGTGGTCTTAAACAAAGAGCGAAAGCGCCTGAGATGCATTGGGAAACAGGTGTTTCCGTTTTTGGGCTCCCAAAGGGCTTCCGCAAAGGGCCGGGCTTTGGCTCGCGGGTTAGGTCTAGGCTTCCATTTCAGCTGAAGGCCCCTGGAAAGAAAACGCCCACCAGTCATAGATGTCCTTCAAAACCAGCAGGGGACAATTACAAAAAATCTGTTCAGCACCTGGAAGTAAAGCAAAACATAAGGGGTGGCTTTTCTCTTTTGCTAATTCCCGGATTCCCTGAGCGCCAGCAAATGGACGTGACGCTGGGCACCACTGCCCAAAACCGGCCGCCCAACGCCCGGCCCAAAACCGCCGCCAAGGCGCGGCTTCTCCGCGCAATCGGTGCAGTCCAGCTCGCGGTTGATGAGGAACCTGGACACCTGCCCGTCTCCCATCCCATCCCCGTGCCCCCGAAGAAACTCTTCGGTGGGTAGGCCTCACCTGCCCTTTTTCAGAACCCACTCGGTGACTTGTCCCCGGTGGACGTTGGAAGGGGAGCAAAAACCATCAGATTTTAGCAGTTCAGTGGGGATGTCAATCACTAAACCGCAACAAGCAAAGATGTAAAATGCTTCCCAACAACAACCATGAAAAAGGACCCAGTAATAGGTGATAGATAGATAGATAGATACATATATATATATATATATATCACCTGCCGGGGTGACTCAAAATGCACAGGAGAAAGTCTAAAAGGTCAAAAGGTCGATTCGCTTTGGGCAAGTGAGCGGTTTGCCACTTACTTGGGCTTGGGCTTCCCAAAAGAAGTTGAAAGCCCACTCAGGGAGTGAGTAGTTGGTACAAAACATGCGGATGCAGGGGCTGTGGGGAATGCCCACTTCTGTGATGCAACAGAATGGGCTTCCCAAAGACTAGTTTGATCATAGAAACGGGGATTCCCACTTGTATCACAGAAGTGGGGACCTACCCCTTGATCCCACAACCCTGTATCATTGTTCCTCTCAGTCAAAAGGGTGCCAGGCTGCCTGGCAGATGCCCAAATAAGACATGAGCGATCGCCCAAAGGACCGGCGCGCCCTTACTTTTCGGTGGGGCTGGGGACCACTGTGGAGGTTGCAAAACAGCATGTCACGGCAAAAAACCACAAAGCCTGGAATGAACGGCTGCAGCACGTAAAACGACTCGCGTTCTGACCTGTGTCTCTTAGCTCTTGTGGGTCTAGGCTGCTATGATTTTGGGTCCGGAGGTGACATCATGCGAAACTCGCCAATGAAGGTTCCTTTCAAGGCACGGCGGCCAAGAACAAACCATGAAAAACCATCTCCAAACTAGGCGGGAATTAGGACCCCAGCAAAAAAAATATTGTTTGCCTGGTTAGTGGAAAACAAATGGAACCCCAAAAAGGCAAAAAGGCTAAAAGGGGGGAGCGCATTCTGGGGGAAGCGAATGCCACCAAGCGCCACTTGCCCCAAAGAAAGCCGCTCCTGAAAGCCTTTCCCTAGGGACCCCTCCCGCGAGTTGTTTTTTTTTTTTTTTGCCGCAGAGAGCAAGAAGAAAGCGACGGGAGCCTTGCCACCAGGCGGGTTCTATGAAAGGAAGGTCCACATTTCTTGCTTGACGGCGCAAGGGGGGCAAAAGCCTTAGATTTTTTAGCAGTTCGGTGGGGGTTTCAACCACTCAACCGCCAAGCAAAAATGTAGAAACAAAAAATAATGCAACAACCCACCAAACAACCATGATTTTCCAGCCACAAAAATCAGCTCAAGCGAAGACCGGCTGATTTTCGGATTCCAAGCACGACACCGCGCCTGCTGCTGGTCCAGGGCCACCGAGAAATCCTCCATCTCCAAGGCTTCCTCCTCGCCTACGCGCAGAAAAACGTCTGCTGACTGTGGCTCGTTCAAAAAGAGCGGTACCCAAAAAACCGCAACCCTGGTAAGTGGAAACATGGACCCTAAAAAAAGACCGGAGTTCCAAAAGGAACCCTGGGAAGTGAAAACATGGGTACCAAAACCCTGGTGCCAGACCCCTCTGATTTCATCTTGAGCCACATTTTGCTGGTGCCAGCGGGGCGTGTAGAACTTGGGAGACCAAAACTCCCAGCACTTCACGTGGAACCTGACAGGGAAATGCTCACTTTAACTAGGTCCTCCAGTTTTGAGGGGGTAGTATAAGTTGGTCCCAACACGGGGGCCAGTCCCCTCCTAGGTCCTCCAGATTTGAGGGGGTAGAATAAGTTGGTACCAACTTTTTGTTTCTGTAGTCTATTTGTGTAGGGGAGCCCTCCCCAAAAAAAATGGTAAAAGGGCACTGGGAGACCTAGTTAAGGGAAACTGATCTTGCAGGCACCCCCTGTCAGGTTCCATGTTCGTTGGTGGGAGGGTAATTTGGGTGTGTTTTCCGCGTTTGTTGTTGGCCATGGGGGAAACGGGCTGTTGCTTTTGTGTGTCGGGAAAGCGGACAGTTCCTTTCAGCTGGCTGACTTCAAACTGGCAGTGCCCGTTGGAGATCCCCAAGCGAGCCGGCCAGCCAGCCCCAGCCGAAGACGACCCATCCAAAGGACCCAGTATGAGAAAAAGGACGACTCTATTTGAGATGAAAGCCAGGGCAAACAGGCACCTGCCTGGTAGCTTTGGGGTTTGCATTGGACTTTGAAAAGGCCAGGCTTCAAACAGCGTTCTTTTTAAGACCCAAACAAAGGATTCAAATGCGGGGTTGGGGTTGCTCCCACTTGACCATGGCGTGGCCCCTGGCAAAGGGAAAGCCAAAGGATCTTGGTGAGTAAACTCAATGCTTGCGCCTGCCATCTCCCATACAGATTGCTCTCCTGAAAAACCCACCTGGCCCGCTACAAACGAGGAACTGCAGCATCAATCCGGCCCCCTCAAGCTAAGGAGCCCATTGCTCCGCCACCAGTGTCGTTCTCGGTGTCATCCATCTCATCCGCCTCCTCCAACCCATAGGAGGGGGGGGAGGTCCTTGACATCTACTCCATCCCCCTTACCCCAAATGGACATACCCCAAGTCTGTGCACAATCCATCCAGGGCAATATTTTATGGGCATGTGTCAGAGTAGCGGACAGCCCCCCCCCAAAAAAAAAGAGATACATATAAGAGTAATATTAAAAATGATAATAACAGTAATGCCGATGGTTTTCCTTTGTTTTTCCTCCTTCACCAACCTGAAAAGGGCACCCGTCTTTTGTCCGCTCCTCGTGGCACATGTCCCTGGGCCGCGCGGGGCAGCGCTCGTAGCCCGTCTCCGCGAAGACCTCTCCCACGTCTTGCGAAGAGCTCAGCGCGCGGAAGGTGGTCTCCTCGCGGCGCGGAGTTCGGAGTTCGGCGCCAAGGCGTGCCCCCGGGCCGTTCGGAGTTCGCGGGGAACCGAAAAACTGGTGCAGCGCGGATCTGCAAACGAAAGGATTTGCGCCGGTGCGGTGAAAGTGGCACTGGCTAAGTGGGGAACTTCTGCATTTGCCAGTGGCTGCTCCAGAACTACGAAAACTTGTTAAGTCTTTGGAAGAGGAGATAATATTTTAAACAAATAGCAGTTAAGTGGGGATGTCAACCACTAAAGCACCATAAGCACAAATGAAAAATGTCTCACAACAACAACCATGAAGTGGGGATCTGCATTTGCCAGAAGCTGCTCCAAAACTTGAATTGAGAATCTCGCGCCTAGGTTACATACCTCGCAATCGGGATCACTTTGAGGGAGAGAGACACACACACACACACACGACTTCATCCTGCCAAATGACACACCTACAACCAACATGATGTTTGGTGGTGATTGGGCTCGTTTTGGCTCCGTCGCCTTGTAGTGGGCATTCATCGCTTTTGGTTCTTCCGGTGCCGACATTGACTGACTTGAAGCAGCCTTTCCAACCCTTGCTATGGTAGCCCCAAAAAAAAAGTGTTTTCTGCATCCCCCACCAAAACTGAAGAGTATCCCTGCACCCCAAGGGCCCTCCAAATGTGTTTTTTCCCGGAACCCCCAACATGGAGGTGTTCCTTTTGGTGTCCGCCCAGTTCAATTTGCAGAGGCCGAGTCTGGGAGCTTCCATGTTAGCCTGAGGGGGTGTAAAGACTTTAAAGGGCGGACTTCTGCACCCATCGCAAGGGGACTATCCCTTGCCAACCTTCATCTTACCGTTTTCTGATTGTGGCTCAATCGCTCATGCCTCGCGATGGAACCACTTCCGCACACATCCCAAGCAATCGGATCGAAGTGTGAATGGACGGAATCCATTTCGCACCACTTTCAGCCATGGGAAACCATAGTTTCTTGGTATTTACAGGGGAATCATCACAAACCCGGATTTCTGAACGGTGGTGCCTAAGAGGATTTCGCAACCATCCACAGTAGGCTTGCGCCTTTCTGGCATTCGCAAAACAGCTCCCACAGACATTTCTCTGCATACGGTTGCAGGTCTTCCACCAATCTCCACTAAAATCCCGACTAAAATCCCGACTAAAATGGGTGGTGCACCTACCCCAACATGGTACCATGCTTGTGACCCACAGCCATTTGCCCCCCCCCCCCAAAAAAAAAAAAAAAAAGTTCTCCCAAAAAGACGGCGCCATGTCCATGGCCAGCCACCCGCGCTTCGAGCCAATCCTCGAAGCCTCGCGCGCGCCTCGGCGGTGCGCCCGATCATCTCGGAGGTGTTCCGCAGCACGGCGCGCCGGCCCCGCCAGAGCCCGGTGGTCCAGCGCCACCAGAAGCCCCACTCCTCCGCCTGCAGAACCCCCCGACCTTAACATGTCCCCTGGCAAAAAATGCGACAATAGGTCCAGTAGCGATAGATTCCCTTTGAAACCAAGACAAACAAATACATCATTCTTAGGCCAATGGAAGTTGAGGAGGGGTCCGGTGTTTCTCGTCTCCCCCTGAAAAAGGTGGAACCATAAAATAAATGAAACTCCAGAAACATCACCCCCCCCCCCCCCGCCCCGCCCGCACTTCGACATTTTGTAACTCAGATGTTCGTTGCCAAGTTGAGAGCCCAGCTAGGTTATAACCCAACACGGTTAACCCCACTGAATGGGAACTTATAAGTGGGTTACCACCGATTGGTAGCAACCAACTTGGCAACGAACATCCGTCCGAGTATTGGTCGCACGGTTCGGGCGCAGCTGCACGCGAAAGAAACCTGCACCCCCCGATTCAAAGGTGTAGAGGGATAGTGCGGAATTCTCATGGGAATGTTGTCCCGATTTCTCAGAAAGGACTCCTACGAAGACCTTTCAAAATGCGTTCATGAAGGGTCTGGAGGTTTTGAGGGAACCCCCTTTGGGGTCTTAACGGGCAACTAACCATAATTTTGGAGGCCGCCCCAAAAATGACACACCCACTTTCAGAAACCCAGTCCAAACTTCTGACCTGAATTGACTGGCCGGCGCCATCTTCAAGCCTCAAGTGTCTGTAACTCGACTAATATGGACGTGCAATCAGTGCTGGGAGTATGCTGTAGTCACCTAGGGAATGGAAAAAACTAAGAAGACACCCATAGCGTAACTTAAACATCCTGGGGAGATTCAACAAGGTGGGCCATGTAGCCGTGAAAGAGTTGACTCACCTGAGTTGATTGGCCAAGAGATGTCGAATCATGGCAATGGTCAACCAGTTGATTGCAAATATTGGCATGCGTCAACCAGTGCATGTCAACCATGGCAAGTCAATATACCCTATTTGGCTGTGGCTCAAAAACCGGTACCAAAATGGAACCCTGGTAAGTGGAACCAAGGACTAAAACCTGCGTACCCCCTGCTGTTTATTTTGAGCCACACCCATTTGACCATGGGGGTATATCGGTGGGGCTTCAGACCACTGAAAGGAACCTGCATCATATCAATTTCCGGGGTGTTCGCCTCCGTGGTCTGAACTAGGGACACCCCCCATTTTATCAATTAGCTTACTAAATTCGAAAATCCTTATCAAACTGATCTTCACGTCCAAAAAGCTTCCAGTCCAGCTCCAAAAGAATCCAGCGCCTCGGAATCTTCCCCCCCCCCCGAAACCCGAACCCCGAAACCGCCCGAAACTGGCCCTCGCTTCGCTTCAGCCCAACGCCCCTCGCTTCGCCTCTTCCGGTCCGGCCACCCGGACCTTGACCTTGGCTGAGCGCGCCGCGTCGCCGCACCGCTGCTGGAAGAGGCGAAACGTCGCCAGCCGGCGGTTCGCCAAGGTCCAGAACCTCGCTCCCCCCGGATCGATCGGGGAGCGAACCGGGGGGCCGCCAAACCGAGCCGTCGGGGAGATGCTTCGAGGAGGGGGGGGGGGATCTTAGTTTTGGTGGTTGAGACCCCAAGTTGGTTGGGGGAAACGAGGAAGCCCAACGTGGGACCAGCATTGTTTATTGATTTGTTGTTGTTGTTGTTGTTGTTGTTGTTTGTTTTTTTGGGGGGGTTCTGCCAACATGGCGAGGACATGTGGGGACGTACGTCGCTGGGTCGGAAAGGCCTTGCTAGGTGATTCGGAAGTGCTGGACTTGGTTGACGTCGGAAAGGGGAGCAGAAATTCAATTTTTAGCCGTTCAGTGGATTTGGATTTCAACCACCAACCCACCATAAGCAAAAACGTGTCTAATCTTTCCAAACAACAACCATGAAGTGGGGATCTGCATTTGACAAAAACAAGCAAACGGTTTCCCAACAACAGCCATGTAGACGGCCAATGGCTCAGAGCTGGGGCTGGCCCTTCTTTGAGCGCTTGATCGATCAGAAAGCTCCAGCGGCCCACTGGCAAAAGTGCCCAACCTTTTGGGAAAATGATTTTCAAGGGGTCGACCCTCCAACCAAAATAAGCAAGATGGTCTCCCCAACAGCCCCAGAACCCAAGGCAACCCTCCGCAACCCTCCCTGAAAGCTGCCCAACAACCACCCCTGACCCCTTATCGCCTGTCTGGGGCTATCGACCCATAGCTTGCAGCTGTTGGAAAAATTCTGTCAAAAAGACTCCCCCAGCTCCTTGGTTCAAACAACCAGCTAGTTTCAAAGGGGTCCACCCTCCTTCTGTGCCCTATATAACTTCAGGCTCCTGTGTGCAGGGGTCGCATCTCAACTCTGCATGGTTCAACAGCCCCTGCTGGCCAGCTGAACCAAAAGAAGCCACCATTCCAATTCCAATGGCTCGCAACTTCCATTTGGTTTAAGACCCCTTGAAAGGGCTAAGGGTTTTTGGGGTTGCCTGAACACTTTTGCGAGTGGGGTCGCCCACATACTCCCACGTCATCTGCACCCAGCTGTCAGAGGTGAAACCAAAGAGCAAGTGTACCAGCCAGGTCATCCACTCTGAAACATCGGGGGTCCCAAACCCAAGGCCCTCCGCAAATCTCCAGCGCAAAGCGACTGGTTGTCGGTCCAGAAGACAGGCATCTCGGGGATGCTTTCCTTGGCGGCTCTTCCCTTCTTCACGCCCCATATGTGATAGCTGTACGGCAATTCGGTGCACAGATCCTTCTCTTCACAAAATCTTCGAACACCTCGGAAGTACTTTGCTTACCCAACGAGTGATGGGCGAAATGAATCGGGGATGATCATTTAGCAGATGCTGCCCCGCAAGCTGCCGTTCACGCATGTCTCTGGCGAGCAGCGAGCCTTGTCCCTTCTGTGCGTGATTTACTTGAAAGTCAGCCGCCCTGGGTTGGTCAACTCGCCGCGTTCAAAGCCCTGCATATTGGCTTGTTTGCAGAGGGAAAGCGCGCTGCTTCAAAGGCAGCAGGCTCCTCAAACAGAACTCGCTCAATTGTCAAACCCCTCCTCTTCGTTTGCCAAAACATGCGGGAATGTGGCCATTGTCCAAAGACCACACATCATGTCGACCCCGGATTGCTACACGATTTCGAGCCATGTCCCTTGTCCACCGCAAAGTACCCTTACGCTGGCTTCCCTATAGCTTGGTTGACGTTGGAAGGGGAGCAAACATTTAAATCTTAGCAATTAAGTGGATTTGGATTTTAATGACGAAATTATAACAAGCAAACATGTAAAATGCAAAACCCAACCAACAACCCCGAAATGACTCTGCGGCACCCTTTAAGCCAAAGAATAGGGACTAGAACCCTTCAAGCCACAAATAGGGACTACGAAGAAAAGTCGGATTTACCCAAGCCATCCATTTTGAGCAAACCACAATGGGGACGAGGAACAAAACGGATTTACCCATCCATGAGCCGAGCCAGCAGGTTCTCAGAGCCAGCCGTTCTCAGCCCATCCGAGGCGCCGGGTCCTTGCCATCCAGGAGCTCCTGCAAGGTCTCTGCAATGCTCATGGCCGGGGCCCCTCAGCTCGAGAAATCTCGAGTCCGACATGTGTGTAGACGATTAGATGTGTATATATAGATATAGAGATAGATGTATTCACATATATATATATGTGTGTGTGTGTATGTATGTAGATGTAGAAAACAGTGTGTGTATATATATATATGTGACAAAAACATGTGTATGAGCATCTATAAATATATACATGTATGTATATGGTACCTATGGCACCCAGAACGTCAAAATACAAGCAACAAACGGCACTTCACGCGCGCGCCGAAGAGAATGCAGAAACTCGTCGCGCGGGGCGCCTCGCTCCGGCTTGAACCGCGCGGAGATGGAGAAGTGGGAGAACCCGATCTCGCTGGGCGCGAGCTCCACCTGAAGTGCGTGGCTTTCGTTTCAAGACGCACCTTTCGAAAGGTGCGCCTGAGACAAGGAACATGAGGAAGGTCCTCCATTTGCTTTTTTGTCCCCTGGCAAAATGAGGAAACTCCAGTAGTGATAGATTCCCTTTAAAACCAACCGGGGAAAATAGAAAATATTCTTAACCAAATGGAAGAAGATGACGAAGAAAAAGACGATGAGGAAGAGGAAGAAGAGGGAGAAGAAGATGTCAATGGGGAGTGGGACGACCAAGCTGAGCAACAATGCAAAATGGACGGAGGCATGAGTGGAGTTGCCTGCACTTTATGAAGGGTACTTGCCCCTGGTCACATGGGGTGGCTAAACTGTGGGTATCACTTTCAGCCAAGTGACCAATCAATGACCTGGATCAAAACCGTACGCCTCGCCCCACGCAAGTATGTTGCCCATCTAAAACCGTCCTTCTTGCTTGGGGTGCTTTTTGAAAGTGCTAAATCCCCGCAAAAATGGGACAACCCCCCATCCCGATTCTTTTCTTCAAACATATGTAGGACAACTCCCCCCCCTTGCCTTCATTCAAATATAACATATGTACCTTTACACCTCGAAAAAACAATGCAACCTAGATTTCTGCTTGGACACGCCCCCAAGCCCAATGTCTCCTCTCCTCCCCCTCTTCCCTCCGAAAACTCGCGCGCCTTCGCGCCCACCGGGTAGGGGCAGGGCCGCTGCTGCCGCCGCAGCAGCGACACGTCCAGGGTGTCCGGCTCGAAGGCTATCGCCAGGTAGATGGAGTCCTCAGATGCGGAAGGCGACCAGCGGGGATCGGCTTGTGAGCCGGTGAGCCACCTGAAAGCAAAAAAACAGCACTGGGTTAACCCCACTGGAGTCACAATCAACACCCGGTATTAAAATGGTCGGGACCCAGAACCGTTTAAAAAATAATAATAAGAGGGCGGGGATCCGCAGCTACTTCATCTACCCGGGTTTTGATTGTGACTCACCCGGGAGCAAAACAACAATACTGGGTGAACCCCACCTAAAGAGGCGTAGTGGGTCAAACCCGACTTGAGGCCCCCCAAATTGGTGGTTAGCCACCTGGGAGTTACTGTGGATGGGTGCAAGTCATCCATCTTGCACTTGGAAACCATGATTGCGGGTGTGTCGGAGAGCTTCGCCATTGTCAAATGCGCCATCGCCCGTCCCTTCAAGTTGTTTTGCATTCCCCAAATTACCAAAAACATGTTCAAGCCCCTGAGACAGCGGCAGGGGTCCGTTCACGTCTCTTGGATGACATGCGAAATTCTCGCATGAATCCTCATTCTCAAGCCTCCGGCTTGCATTTGTCAACTTCTCTTGGCACAAAAACACACCCAAAAAACAAAATCCCCACGCCCAATGTGGGGAACATGTAGCGATAAGCCCCCTTCCTCCATACATTACTTCCATAAATCACATATGCTAGCCCACACCTGCAGATTCTACATTGATCCATGCACCTGACAGACGCATAACTGTGGATTGGCCAAAACAAGTCCAAACCAGCTTTCGCCACACACAAAAAAAAACCAACCCCCCGTTTCTGCCGCCAAAATGGCCACCAGCCCCCACCCCGCCCCCCCCCCCCCCCCAAAAAAAAAAGGAAAAAGAACGAAACAGTCCCGAAAAACGACACAAAGGACCAGCTCTCACGGCTTGGGGCAAACGGCCAAACCGGCGGCAGCCGAGGCGCCAGGAAGGGCAAGCTCTGGTAGGCCGCCCCACCGCGGCTCAACATGCCGCGGGCCTGCTGCAGCAAGGCCTCCTGCTCCGCCAGCCCCAGCCTCGCGGCGACTCGCAGTGCAAGGGGCGGGGTGGTTGGGCTTCCCAGCTGCCTGTCTGTGTGTCGGTGAAGGTCGCTTCCTTTCATGGGCGGTTTTTTCTTCACAACCTTCTGACATTCCTTTGCAAGGCCCCTTCTCGTGACAGAAGTTTTCGCGCGTGAAAGCAAACCGTTACGAAAACTGCATTTTCTGTTGAAAGGTCTTTTTCTCTGGGGCAATCCATTTCACACCACTTGCAAGCCTGGTCTAAACCGTTGGGTTGCTGAACTCCGCCTCAGCGGATGTTTCGTGGGTGCAAGGGCACTAGGGCTCCCTTGGAGATGCCACGCAGAACAAATAGCCAGGCCATGTTTTTAAGGCTGCCTATTCAAAACCCTGGGAGCCTGGTGGGGCCGAGGGCTCTCTCAGGCTCCTTCCCTCCCCCCCCCCCCCAAAAAAAGAAAGAAAAGAGCTCGGAGCCCGTTACGCATAGACCTTCTCGTACGCAAACGCGCACACAAACACACGCACACAGAGACCAAAAAACATTCTTCCGCACAGATCAGACACACGCACACATAGAAACGCAAACGCAAACACAAGCGTAGACGCGCACAGAGAGACACTCGAGGACTGGTCACCCAAGAGCACGGGGGAAAAGAAAAAAAAAAAAAAAAAAAAACACGGCGCCACATGTTTCCCACCCATGCCGCTTGATGGACCGCCGGGTCGGGCACTGAACCATCAGGAAATGCGAATAATCTTGGTGAATTAGATTTTTCACCAGCCTGAAATAAGGTGGTTCGGGGGCTACTCCCCACAAAAGCCACCAGTTGGGGTGAGGTCGTGTGAGGTTGCTATAATTCACCCAGCCGCAAACAATCCCACCGTCAAGCCGACCGTCTCACGCGGAGACTTTTTCTTTCTGGGGTCACGCGCGACAACTCGGCGAGTTTGAAAAGACCCAGAAGAGCACATCACTCCTCATGAACCGGGGCCGATTTTTCTTCCTGGGGCCAACCTCAACCACGCGCGACCTCGGCAAGACCCAAGACCCAAGCCCATGTTTGCCAACCAGCGGCAGGGCCATGGCCATCTCGAGCTGCTTCAGCAGCAAGCCTCGGTGAGAAATCCGATCCCAGGACAAACTACCGTGGTGGCCAGAAGTTGGGGTTTCCACAGGGCATAATTCGGGGGCTGAAGGCTGTTGAACCAAAATCCGCAACCCCCCGTGGGCCACAAGGGAAACCACAGGGGCAAAGTGAGGCTTAAGGCTTTTGAACAACGAAACAATGCAAGCTTTGCCGGCCGTGGCATGCAAATGGGTCTGGGGCCTCTTAGCCTGTTGCGAAAGTCCTGTTGCGGGCCTTCTATGCAAAGAACACAGAATTCTGCTGAAGGAAAGCTTCGGAAGCCACCTTCTTGGGGGTGTGGAACCGCCATATTATCCATGGTTTCTCCCAATGTGACCCTGGAAAAAGCTGCTGGAATGTTTCTCCCTAGGGCAATTAACAAAGGGGGTTGCCGTTTAGTTGCAAGACCTTGAGTGGCCATGGGAGGAAAGGGGGCATACAGCCACATGGTGTTGGTGCGCACGCCCGGCCTGGTTGACGTCGATATGTTTCATGCAAAGCAACAGCAAACACGAGCACATACACCCCGCCCCTTCCCGAAATCCCAAATTCACGCAGGCGAGCCTTTGAGTTGGTACTTGCTTTATTCACCGGAACCAGCCCCAAAAAAACTGAAAGAGGAGATGCCTCGCCGGGAGGTCTGGGGGGGAATGTTGACCCTGGAAAAATACTAAGCCCCTGATGAATTATCATCCTGGGGATTCATCAGGCAACACCCCTCTATTAATAGGCCGGGTTTATTCATCCGGGGCCAACAGCAGCACCCATCAACTTGCTGGTTCTCAGCAGGGAATGAGGAATGACCCCTTCCAACCATCCCCTGTGGCATTTTTTAAGGGAATCCTTTGGGTTCAGCTTCGTTCCCAACATCCGAACTCGGTCTATCACACCAGAAAGATCTTGCTGTTGATCCCCCTGCAAAAAGTTTAACTTTTTGGGGGTTTAGTGGAAAACCCCTTGATTTTCCAAAAAGTTAAAGTTTAAAGATCCAACCCAATAGCAGTGAAGTTTTAACTATCACACCAGAAGATCAAGGGAAACCGAAGGCCAAAGCGAGTTCTGCGCTCTGCGCAGCTGAGGGGCTGGTCCTCTTCAGCACGCGCGCCAAGATGCCGTCATACTCCGCGCCCCCCGCCGCGTCGCTGCATCGCTCAAAGTTCTCCTCAGCAAACGGCACACCCCCTGAGAACGAGGATTCCCTAGCCTCAGGCGGGTATTGGCATGTTGGACGGAATGGAACATCCATGCTTCCTATTCAAGATCTGCGGAGAGGTGTTCCATCCCAAAGGGATTTTATCTTTTGAGTTTGGGGGCAGCAAGGGCGCTTTTTCCCAAATGAAGGTTCGATGCAAATTTCGAGGTGCCTTGATCTGGGTCACTGAAAGTGGTTGCATGTTGAGGGGTTCTAAAAGGTTACGGTTTCTCCCACAAACCTCATGTTGTAGTTTCACGGGCCCAGCTGATCCTTGCACGCAAGCTCGACCAAGCCAACCGCCCCTTGGGGAGCAGGGAGGGGAAGTGCTCATTAGGGACTGACCGAGTGCTGCCTCAAAGGAAACCACCAGGGATGGTTCATAGGGGTCATCCATCTCATTCCCTGCTGAGTGACAAGCAAACTTTTGCGTGACCGCCTTGCGCAGCGACAGTGCTTTCCGGGTCCCTTTGTTGGGCCGGAATTTTCGGACCAAGAAATCAAGCATTTTTTCAGCGGCTTGCCAACGCTCTCAGTTTGTGGCTAGAACGGCCTTCACCCCCCCCCCAAACAAACAAACAAACAAACAAACAAACAAACAAACAAACAAACAGAAAACAAAAACTGCGGGTGGGCCGGGAACTGGCCAACAATCTCCCTCATCTCAGTTTAGTCCTCCGGCTTCCCCACATCTGACCGCCAGCCCCCCCCCCAGCCCCAGCCCCCCAGCCCCCAGCGCTCCTTCTGCATCCACAAGTAGGTGGCCTGTACGAAGCCCGCGCGGCGCCGCAGCTGCCCAAGCGACACCTCATCCATCACGCCGCCTCGAATCGCTCGGTGCAAGGGGCCTCTGGTGGAGGGGAGCTGGGGCGATTCAGTGCTCGAACGGACCGAGTCCAAGGATAGCTTCAGCACTTGCAATTCCTGGATTCATGTTTCTTCCGTTTCCTTTCATTCTGTATCTAAAGCTTGTAGGTCTGTATGATTATATGATTGATTTGACTGCCGATGTTCATGGGTTTTGGCTGGGCATCCGTATGCATTGCCTTTGCACATAAGTGATTGGCAAGAGCTGGGTATACAAATCAGGGGCCCCAAATCAAAATCCGCGGTTGAGTCCTGACACAGTTACACTGACTACCCCCCACCCCGATTTTTCCCCGGATTTCAGCTGAGCACGAGCAAGTGAGGCTTTGTATCTCTCATTTCTCCTTTGGACCCTTTTTGGGTCTTGGGGCTTTGTCGGGGCTGTGTTTGGCCCTTTCTCGGATGCTCATGCCACTCAGCCTGGGACCCGGACAGACAAGGTGAGCAACTGAGAAGCTTGGATCCATGGTAGTGAGGGAACTCACCGCAGCTATCCATAGCTCTGACCTACAAAGTTGCACTTCCTGAGTGGATGTGCTGCCAATCAAAAGTCCTTATTTTTTGCCTATATACCACCAAGACAGCTTTCCCAAAATGGCCATCCTGTTGGCTTGGCAAAGGGGGCTCCAAGCATCCAGTGTGTCTCCAAAACAAAAAAACCCTTCCAACATGAGTGGTTTTCTTTGGGTACCCCCACAAAACAAACAAGAGATGCTACCCTCAAAACCCAAACACCATCTCCCCTGCAACAAAATCACTTGTCAGTGGGTTGATCCATGGATCCTGGGTTGTCAGGGCCCTTGCTGGGGCACCATCTTGAAATGGACCCGAAATGGTTTTTCTGTTCGCCCCAATTGGGATTGGGGAATCGGCCCCTATTGAAAGGGTCCTTGACATCCCAGCTCCCACCATTTCCTTTTGGTTTTTTCAAAGGGTGGCAAGCCCTTGGTTGCCTACTAAACCAGGCACCTGAACCCTCAAACTACTGAGCCCTCAAACTACATGAGCCCTCAAACTACAAGTTTACATACTATGGACAATAGCAGGTAACCGACTATTTTCCTGTTGCTTTGTTAAAGGGTGGTTCGTTCCCTTGGCTACCTACAAAACAAGTAAATGGACCCACCCGAAAACCATACTGTGGATGGACGAAATCCTGCACCACCTAAGAACCCCCGAAAATCTGGTTCAATAGCAACCAAAAATTATGGTTTCAAACCACGGTTTCCAAGCAGTGCGAGTAGCGAAATTTCGTCCATCCACAGGAATTGAAGGCCGGGCCACAGGCGCGCAACGTCTCGGAGATCTGGGGCACTTGGTCCTCGCACCACTGCCAGTAGGGCCCGAAGCGGTCCGCCGTCGCCACCTGCACACGATCGCACATTGAGGCCCCGTGAGTTCGTTGAAACCGAAATGTATTCATATATATATATACATATCTGTATTATATACATGTATATGTATACATATATCCACTATGTAGCCCAATGGACACATTTGTCCATGCACAGCACCTGTTTTTCTGGCCCCATTATTTTACACTTATCAAACTTATCAAAGTCACCCGGAAAGTGACTGGGTTCAGGGAACCACTCCCAGTTGCGGACTTGAACAACCCCTTAAAAAACAAAAACAGACGAAACAGTTTGACCACAGTAGCTTTTGACTCAGTTGCCCCCTAGAAACCCACAAATGCAAGGTATGAAAGGTGATATGGATCCGGTCGATTCGCTTCCAGGTGAGTTGATCAAACCAAAGCCTTGAGAGAAACCAAAAGTATAGCTCAGTGTTCAATGGCTCACTTCATAGAGGGAGCTGCTTGGATGCTTTGCCGAAAGACCAGCTTGGCACAACTCTGAGGCACGCAACAGAGATGAGTCTGCTGCATATTTGGTCAACCTCAAAGAACAGAATACTGTCTGAGACCCCAGGAAAGGTTTTTTGTTGAACGGCTGCCTATGCTTCCCCTCCCACCTAAGCTCGTGTTGAATGGTCCCCAAAAGTGATGTATAAATCACACCAAAAAAAAAAGAGAAAAAAACATGGGTGTGAACTTCAATAAGGGACCCTCTAGCGGACATCATTTACGTGGGGGTTCATGTAAAAATCCATGACCATATAGCGGGCCGTGCTTAAAACGAACGTTTCATCTAAGGCTGAATGATACATGAACCCCTGGTCTGAACCCCTAGTTTATGGGTAAATTCACCGTTCGTTGCGGCAAAATGTCATTTGCGCCTAGACGCCCTCAGCCTTTGAATGGGTGAAAAGCAAATAAAGAGCTTATCTGGGGGGTAGCAGGAGCTCACCCATGATGAAGGTCCTTTACTTGGGAACCCAACCCACCACCCCACCCCACCCCAACCTCCACCCCACCCCACCCCACCCCAACCCAACCTGAACCCAACCTGAACCCAACAGTTGTTTCCCTTTTTTTGTGTCTCACCCGCGGGCAGGCGGCCTCCTCCTCCTCCTCGAGGTCGTTGGCGAAGCTGGAGAGGAATGCCACGAAGGTGGGCAGGGCATCCGCCCGCAGAAGTGCTCGGAAGTCCGTCTTCAGCATCCTGCGACCGCGGGGACCGGCCAAAACGAGATGGCCATGGGTCAAAAAGCGGTTACCCCCCAGTGAACATCCCAACCCCCGCTAAAATAGACTGAACTGCGTTGGGCACCTACCAACCAAAATGGTACTATTGGCTTTGACCTACAGCCACATACTCCGCCGGCCCTTGTCGCATGGATTTCTGGCATTCGTGATCACCATGGCGTATCTCCAATTTGGAATATTGACTTTGGGAAATGTGTTCCTTACATTTCGCCTCCCACCGAGCAGCATGGAACCTGCGGAGTCCTGGGTTTTTTAAAGGGACCGGGTCGATCGTCGCACTCCATGTTGATTGGTGAGAGGGTCAAGAGTTTAGGTTAAAGGTTGTTGCTGCGCGATGAGGTTTTATATAATGGTCTCTCTCCCTCTCTTTTCTTGAAAAAGCTTAAACCTTGCACGCGTCACATAAATGCCAACAACATTGATAAAATGCGCTAGTTCCCCCCACAACCCACAAACAAAATGTCAAAGCTTCACCCCTTGCCGGACCTCGAATTTCACAGGCGATCACCTTCTGGAGCCTTAACAGGTTTTAAAGACGGTCCCGACCCTTCTGACCCTCTGCCCCATAAACTGCAAAACTCTACCCCCCCACCCCACCCACCCCCCACCCCCCCCCCCCACCCCCCCCCCCTCACCCCCTCCCCCCCACACACCTGACCTTCCCCCGAACGACCCGGCCCCTTCACGAAGCCTCAGGCTTGAGCAAGGCAGAATCCCCCCCCTCCCCCCCCCCCGACTCAACTCATCCAAACCAAAATGGGCCTGCGCTTCTCACCCCCAACCCCCAACCTGCTTTCTTGACTGGCACTCTGTTTACCTCTCGGCGTGGGGCAGGTGGGTCCTCAAAGATGCCAAGAACCTTCCACAAGCTTTACTATGAAAAGCCCAACCACCAGGGTCCCAACTTGCAACGGGGTCGCTTACCTCAAAATTCCAACACCTGAAGCAAGGAATCCCCGGGTAAACCAATATGGTCAGCAAAAAATATATCCCCGGATCGGTGAGCTCAGCATAAAAAGGCGCAAATATGGGCGGTTGTCTTAAAATACGGAACCCCCCCCCATACATCAGCCGCATCTGTGGTCTTCCAATTGGGTGGCTTGAGGTTGGCTTTGGGTTGGTTTAGGGTGGGTTTAGGGTGGGTTCAGGGTGGGTGCAGGGTTGGCTTAGGGTTGGTTTAAGGTGGGTTCAGGGTGGGTGCAGGCTTGGCTTCGGGCTGGTTTAGGGTAGATTTAGGGTTTGGGGTTTGGGGTTGGTTTAGGAATGGGGTTTCGGGTTGTTTGTGGAAATTGACTTGTCCTAGATTTCGGAACAAGGCTGCGAGTTTGCGGGCTCTTGGGGTCTGGGGACCGTAGCAGCGGGGTGTGAGGACTCGGAAACTCAGGTCGGGTCGGGCGGGGGGACCGGCGAGGTTTTACCATGGCTGCTGTTTCTTCAGTTTCAAAAACCATTGCAAAGGATACCATTGTAAAAGGATACCCTGGTTTTCTTCAGTTTCAAAGCCCATGGTTTTACAGTTTCCCTTTAAAAAGGATATCCTCCAAAGACAAACTATGGGCGTTTGCTTCTCAAAATCGTCCTGCCTTCCGTTGGGCGTCGCTTATCATACCAACCCCAAATGAAAATGGAAAAAAAGGCGCGGGGGGGGGGGGGGAGTCGTCCCCCCCAAAAAAGACAGGACCACCCCGGCTCGCTCCAAGACCCCTCGCCTGAAGCAGAGCAGCGCGGGGTGCGCCACCTGAATGTACCTTCCATTTTCTGGCTTGCCCACTTGAACCAAATCATTCCAGTAGCGATTTATTTTTCCCTGTTAAACCTTCAGAAGGGAAAATGCAAAATATCAATTCTAGTCATGGATTCCCTTCAAAACCAAACAGGGGGGTTGAAAAATAATTAACGTGCAAAGCAAACATGTTGAGCAAATGGAAGGCCCAAATCTCGACCTGGTCGGGTTTTGGGGTTTGGCAGTTGCAACCCCTTCGCGTCTTTACAGTTTCCCAACAGGGCTCCCTATATTTCCCCTTAATACATCACCCCCATGAAGGGATACTCACCTTTCATGGGCCAAAACAGCCAAAAAGGGAAATATAGGGACCCCTGCCCAATGGGACTAAAACGTGGCAAATCAGAAGCACTCTGAGCCGAAGGCACGCCGCCGCGCTGCCCAGCTCCTTCAAGCCGGCGCCTTCGGCTAGGCCCTCCGCGCGCAAGACCTCGCCGCGCGGAATTGCCACGAGCGCAGGTCGAGGAGCCGAGGAGCCGAGGAGCCGAGGAGTCACGGGGCTGTGGTCCATACCGTGGATGGACGAAATCCACTTCGAAACCCTGGTTTGTGAGGATTCACTTGCAAATACCAACACAAAATCCATTTCGCACCACTTTGAAACCATGGTTGAATCCATTATTCGTTGGTATTTACAGGGGAATCGAATCATTCCAGGGTTTCCTGGGCGGTGCGAACGGATTTCGTCCATCCACAGTACGTTGGGTAGATGGGCGGCTCGTCCTTTTTAGGTTGGAGCTCCCAAAGTGGAAATCGGTTTTCCGTTGTGTCTTTTTGAGGTTGGACCCCCAATTTCGGTGTCCCTTTTGGTTTCCCTTGCCAACCGACAGGGGATACCCATAAAAAAGACATCTAAGTTGATCCTAAAATAAGGTGCCCTGGCGAATGGAACCAAACACCTGCGTTGCGCTATTACTAGAAAACTTTGAGCAGCCTTTTCCCAAGCCCAAGCAACCGCGCAGCGTATCTGGAAGTCACACTATTTGGAAGTGAACCTTTCATCATATTGGCATGTCATTTCAATGGAAGGCACAGGTTTGATGAGAACAGGAGATTGTTCAAACCACGGGGGAATGTGAGAGTTCTGCCATCTGTCACCCAACCAGAAACCTCCAGCTGCATCTCCCTGCAATTGTTTAAAATATTTCTAAAACAGGCACAACTGAAGTGAGCTCGCCATAAATCACACAGTTTGATGCCTTCCCATCCATTTGCTTAAGTCTCCTGGATAAATAAACCTATGACCAGTAGTCTTATTCCCTTTTAAAGCAACAGGGGGAGAAAAAACAACATTAATGAACCGCAAATGGAAGCCTTTGAGTAAATCAGTATTACTAGTGGAAGTACCAGAAACCAAAAACCTCCAGCAAACCTCCATTTGCTTAAGCCCCCCTGGAAAAATAAAACAATTTCCAGTAGTGACAGATTCCCTTTTAAGCAAATGGAAGTACCAGACACCTCCGGCGGCATTTCGACTCCCCACCTGCATCTTCGGCTCCAGCTCCGACTCGAAGACCGATGCGTTGGCCATCTTGGACAGGAACCTCGGCGCAGGCTTCAATGTCCACTACCCCCGGGCTGGCTCGGGGCCGGGGCCGGCCCCCAGCAGTTGGAAACTCGGCACATTCTTATATTTCAAGTGTTCTCTCATGTAGCTACGCATTTCTGTTCAACTCACTTCCTGAGTGGACTGGCCAACAACAATCCAAGTCTTTTGGTTTAACACCAAAATGGTCTTTCCAAACTGAGGGAGTGAATCAAGAGCTTTCTTTCTCGATGCAGGACATTCTCCAGGAAATTTATGCCGAGCCCCTTGCTGTTGGATGACGCCTGTATTGGAGACGTTTTCAAAATAGTGCAAGCCCACGGAACCAGGCGACATGCCGTGCACCATGGTTGAAAGGTCCCGGAATGAATCTTGCCTTTACGTCTTTCCGCTTTTTGGATTTCAGCCAGCAATCTGACTTTTTTAGTCTGGGCAGGCCGCTTGGTTTCTCGTAGATGCCCCTTGAACTTCCAACAGAGGCTGCCTCTTTGAGTAAACCCAAATAAACTTGGGATTGGTGGATTATCGACTGGTATTTCATGATTATGCCATTTCAACTGGTACAACCTGGATTTTGTCCAGCTGGAATATGGTTGGCAAGGAAGCACGAGCTCACGGTGAACTGAATCGTTTCCAGCGGCGTCGTCCGAAGAAAAAGAAGAAAAAAAAGACCCCCCGGCCCATCGGCCCCGCGCGAAAGCCCCGCAAAATCGCTCCGGAGAAAAGAAGGAAAAAAACAAGCCCGCGTCCGATCCGCGCGCGAACTCCGCTCGCGCGCTCCGCTCGCGTCGAGTTGACTCGGAACGAGGGGCTGGCGGAAGCTCTGCGTCAGCAGCAGCTGCAACACCCCGCTGCCCCCGCTGCGGAGGCACCTGGCCGCCGAACGACCCTGCCACGGGACCCGGCCACGGGACCCGGCCACGGGAAGGTTCCCCCGTGGAACACAAAAACATCGGTGGAGAGGCCATTTCACGGGTGCCTTCCTTTTTTGGAGGCTGCCCGTTTTTTGGTGGGCTGGATTAAAGGGGAACCAAAAGGAAACGTGAAATCAGTGAAATCCGTTTAGGGGGTCCCCCTCATTGCAAGTGGGTCCTTTTTACGGTGGATGCCCCGTTCGCCATATTTTCGCTTCCGATCGAGTGGATTGACTACCCAATCAAAAGCACACTCACTTAAATGGCCCCAAAAAGGTGGTGTGCAGCTGACCCCAAAAAGGAAAATCAAGTTAGCCCTGCTGACCCCCCAGGTAGCCACCGTTTTTCCAGGCGTTGTTACTTGACCCTTTTTCTCACCTAAGATCAGATTGGGCATGGGGAGCCAACCTGCAAAAACTAGCGGGAAGATGGCTTGCCTACGTACTATAGTTGCTCTTTAGCAAAGGAAATAGCAGCGTACCTACTTCAGAAGCTATGCGGCCGGATTCGAATTCAGGGCAACCAAGGCTACCAACCTTTAAGATTGCAACTACAATTTGTCGTTGCCTACCCTGGCAGCTGGGGTGCCTACTCGCGGGTTTGAGATGCGTCAGTTGGCCGGAGTGCTGGACCTTGCCAGTTTTCCTCACAACTGAAGTCCGAGCCTGTACCCGTGGATCAAGAACTGTCGTCCACCCGGCGATAAAACGAACCCCGAAAGCGCAATCGCGAAAACGACATCGCCTGAGCATCAGCGGCCAGCTGAGCCGGAACTTGCTCTCCACCCGTTCGATGTTGCCCCCGATCATCAGCGCCCGCAGGCGCTGGGAGGGGTGCCTCCTGCGAAAGCTCGGAAAGCGCACGGGAAAGCTCGCTCCCCCAAAGGAAGGTCGACACCTCGGGGGATGTTTACCTTTCCCACGCAAACGCTATGGTCACAACTTGCTCTTTTTTGCAGTGAAACTTTAAGAATATACGCCAACAACTGTGAAGTTGCTGAGATGTCAAACCTTGAGGCTAGGTCAACTTCTGGTCCTTGGCTACATCAGAGCCCGCCAAGCAAAAAAAAAAACATGTGTGGATTCCGGCCCACGTCGAGTCAGCCTGAAAATGTTTGCATTTGTGTGTGTGTGTGTGTGTGTCAGAGTGTCCCCCTGTAAGCAGTTACGCGTACTGGCTCATGGGGAATCAAGTCTTGTCAGAGGGTTGGAGGTAAACCGAGAAACGACAAGGAGCTTGCTACCAACAACTGCTAGCCACAACAGTTGGCTCCTTGGCTCCCTTCCAACCACTCCAGCTTCCCAGGGAGACTTCGGACGATGTCTTGGAAAGCTGATGTTCAGACAGAATCTAAGTGCTAAATGAGTCTGTCCGGCTCATCATTTCGCATGCAACAAAAACGGCCTCCCGTTCCCGTTTGACTGGATTCTGTGACAAGAAAAACATCTCGGTTGCTTTCTGCTCCCGTGCTAAAAGTTTAACTTTGAGTGGTTTAGTGGGAAAACCCACTAGTTGGCAACAAGCTCAAGTCCTAACATCCCTTGGCAAAATGCACCAAAGACAAGGAAACCAACCGCCTTCTCCAAGTTCTCCTCTGGCATTTCGGCCACTACCCGACAGCTTTTGCACCCCCTCCCCCCGCGCAGGCCCGCACAATACCTAGGTCCTCCAGTGGAGAGGACCTAATAAAAGTTGGTACCATTTTAGTAGGGGAACCCTCCCCCACAAAAGGGTGAGAAAGGGCACTGCAGGGGGGCCTTGACAATGTTATTCATACAACGGCGAATAATCAAAAGTTGTTTTCCTTATTCTGGTTCGCCCTCATTGTTGAGGGGTACCAGAATAACTGAAAGTTGTTTTGCCCGGGGGGGAAATTCCAAAAATATCCACAAATCAATTTTAATTTGAAAAACCATCCCCCCAAATCCATGTTGACCCCATACCACTTACTTAAAAGCATTCCCCTTGGCCCACTTGCTTAAAAGAATTCCCCTTTTAATGGTTGCTCAAACACAAAACCCAAAGCCAGCTGAAACCTCTGAAAATTGAAAACCACCCCCAGCCCTGAAACTGCAAATTCTTTGTTAAACCTTGCTTCAAAAACAAGCAAAAAAATCAGGACAAGGGTACCCCTCACAGACTCCACTGAACCACAACAATAACATTCTTTAGGGGGACCACATTAGTTGCAAGCCCCCAGCCCCCTCCAGAAAACAAACTGTCAGTTGCTTTGCTCAAAAGCATTCCCCTTTTAATTGGTGGCCCACTTTCTTAAAAGCATTCCCCTTTACATTGGTGGCCCACTTGCTTAAAAGCATTCCCCTTTCATTTGGTTTCTTTCTAGATCAAGCCCTCCCTGACTGAAAGGCACACCCTTTGAATGGCTACTAATGTAATTAGTATTCCAAAAAGCATGCTCAAGGAAGAAGTGGTTGCAATACAAAAGTAGAATTGCAAAAAGGAAGTGGCTGCAATACGAAAGTAGAATTGGGCCCTAAAATCCTCGACATTTTTCTGGCGCCTCTGTTGTTCAGGGGGGACACTTGATTCTGTTCCAGAATTAGTGCACCTTGCCACTTTGGCGTCAGGACGCAAAGGCTCTGACAACGGAGTTTTGGACGGGAGAATGTCGCGAACCCCGAATGTCAAACAAGGTGAGACAAGATCCTCGCGCAGCCCGTTCCTCTGCTTCCCTCCTAGTTGGTTTGGAGTGGTGGTTAGCCTAGTGTGTCTTTGCCCCATGTGCCCTCCGCAAGAGCCAGGGGTTAAACTCCCCAAGCCAATCCAAGCCGCAAGTTGGAAATTGCCCGAGGAGACACGCGGGCGGCTAAAAAGAGACCTGAGCCAAAAAGGGGTGGGGAAAAACAAGGAAAACAAAGAAGAGAAAAAAAGAAGAGAAAAAAGGAAGAAGAAAAAACAACGCGTCCTGGTGATCACGTTCCAGGCGTTGCCGCGCTTGTCCTGGTTCCGCCGCCCCGCACGCCCGGCCATCTGCATGTACTCGGCCACCAGGATGTTCCTACGGCGCGGAAAAGCGCCTTTCCTCGCCTTGAGCAGCGCCCAGGTGACTTTTGGTTCCAAGCACCGGGTTTTGTGGTTTTTTTTTCTCCTTTTTTTTTATGAAGGCCATGTACCAATAGCGCCGCAGCGGGGGGTGCTGGGGGCTTTCAACACAGGTCCATACCAATCTGGTGCTTCAGGGCCAGAAGCTAGGGAAGTGTGGCTGTGTGGCTCAGTTGTTCAGTGACCGTGGAGGGGAAAAAAGGAAGAACCATAGTTTTGGGGAAGACCATTTTTTAGTGGGGCAGCCACCCCAAAAAAAAAACAATGGGAAAAAGGGGTGCCACTGAACAACGGAGCTCTTACTACTCTGCCTTGCAACGGTATGCCGGAGAAAATGGTCTAGAGCCACCAAACGTCCCAACCAAAACACTTTCCTCTGCTCCATACCGTCGTACTTCTGGAACTCGTGGTCCGCTGGCCAGTTGAAGACCACAGATCGGCTGGGCCTGGGAAGGGCAACGCACAAACCTGCATGATGCTAAGGCAAGGCGTGTCGGGCACTAAACCAAAAAGAGCGCAAGCATCCGAGCAACCCACCCCTCCAAGTCATCGCGTCGACCGGCCGGAACAGCGGGAAAGGTGCGGGGCTCAAGTAAAAATGTGCAGAACGCCGTTAGTGGCGGCGCGAGCAAAAACAACGCCACGGAGCGCGTTCTACACCGGGACCCCCCCCCCCCACGAAAGGGAGGCCCACTCAATCGCCAAACGGACCCGAGAACAAAAGGCTCACCTTTTGAACATGAACCCAACATAAAACATAAAAAAGCTTAAAGGTCGGTTTTGGACAACTGAGTCCTAGGTGAGCTCCTTTCATGAGAAGTGGTCCCGCTCAACACGTGTCCTCCTTTTGGTTTTGTTGGCGCTAAGGCGTGCAAAAGTCATGGGCCCGACCGGTTGCCCCCAGCGCCAGACTTCGGGAATTCAACCAGTTTCGAGATTTTGAGGTCATGTCATAGCCGTTTCAACACATGCGTGTCAAAAATAGGCACCCAACATGGACCACAAGTAAATGGAGGAACCAAGGACTAGTGCCCCCAACCCTTGCGCTTGCGGCTGTCGGCATGTTCACCCCCACTGCGAAGGTCTCGGTGGTACACAGCACCCGCACCAGCCCGTCCTGACTGGCGAAATGGGCAAAGGGAGTCAACAACTAGGTCCTCCAGTAGGGTTAGAATAAGGGTACCAGCTTCTGTTGTCTATTTTGGTAGGGGAACCCTCCCAGCCAAAAAAGGGGAGAGAAGGGCACTGGGGGACCAAAACAAAGAGGTTTCAGCACAAGTTCCCGCTGCTTCCAATCGGCTTCCCATGCTTCCGAACTGAAGGGGCACGTGGCCGTTAGCAACTTTGCCCTAGGGATCTGGCAAGCGAAAAGCTTGCTGGTTCCCATGAAGAAAGGAGCCCGTTCCCAAAACCCTTGATGCCCCACTGAGAACCTGCAAGAAAACGGCATCAAGTGAATGACCGAATGACCCGCCGGCCCCCCCACCCCACCCCAACAAAAACAAGTGCGGTTGCTGCGTTTGTGTTGCGCGTCCCAAGGTCGTGCAGAAAGCACCTTTTGTGTTTTTTAATGGGAAATCAAAGGGTCCTTGAACAGCTTCTCGGTGATCTCCCGCAGCACCGGCAGCAGGCCCCCATGGTGAACCCCAACGCCCCTTGCGAAGAGGTGATTAAAGGCATATTTGGGTTCCCTCCACCCCTACCTCCCCCCATGAAGTCAAGAGCCATCTCTTCACATCTTCTCTCATTACTTTCTATCTCTTGGTCTGTGTCCCATTCAATGAATTCTAATGGGCAAAGATAAGAAAGATAGATGAGAGAAGGCAAGTGACTGGGAGATGACGTGAAAGGAACGGTCAGCTCCTCCCCGCGAATGGTCGGAGTTTCCTTCGGGCGTGCATGCATCTTTTGTTGAGACTCGGGAATGGGAACCCCAGCTCTCTGTGGAACCCATGGTTGATTTTGATCGGCGTCCCCGTCTTTCTTTTGCAGGGACGGGTCGGTGAATCCGAAGTCCACATGTTGAAAGGGGCCACTAATTGGAGACAAGCCTACAGCTACCCTCAGACTGACCCGCTTCGGCAAATGGAAGGGGTGGGTCGTTGTTTGTTGTCTAGGTCCCCCAGTAGAGAAGCTAGAGTAAGGGCGCCCTTTTTCCGAAGTCTATTTTAGCAGGGGACCCTCCACCAAAAAAGGGGTAAAAGGGCACTACTGGGGGACCTAGCTGTAGAAAAGAAAGGGTAGGTCCGCAGGCAAGCCCAATGAAAACTACAAACATGCGCGTGGCCCCAAATCTTAAGGCAAGCCTCTGTGGCCTTGGTCGTGTCCTAAAATAAACAAACTGGCCTTATGAACACTCCCAACTTCAAGCAACGTGTTTGAATACGGCACTTCAGGAGTTCAAACTGGGATCTCGTCCACAGCAGGGCTGTAAAACCCAAAGCGATTCCACACCCCTGGCCAAAACCTTCTCCTTGACGAAAGGGCAAGGCATCGTCGTCAAGGGCAAGGCAGGCAGGCAGGCAGGCAGACAAACAAAACGAAACAAAGCAAGCAAACAAACAAACAAACAAGCAAGCAAGGCAAGGCAAGGCAAAGCAAGGCCAAGCAAGGCCAAGCAAAGCAAAGCAAAGCAAAGCAAGGCCAAGCAAGGCCAAGCAAAAGCAAGGCCAAGCCAATTAAAGCAAGGCCGAGCAAGGCCAAGCAAAGCAAGGCCAAGCAAAGCAAAGCAAGGCCAAGCAAAGCAAAGCAAAGCAAGGCCAAGCAAGGCCAAGCAAAAGCAAGGCAAAGCAAGGCCAAGCAAGGCCAAGAATAGCAAAGCAAAGCAAAGCAAGGCCAAGCAGGGTCAAGCAAGGCCAAGCAAAAGCAAGGCCAAGCAAGGCCAAGAAAAGCAAAGCCAAAGCAAAGCAAAGCAAAGCAAAGCAAGGCCAAGCAAGGCCAAGCAAAAGCAAGGCAAAGCAAGGCCAAGCAAGGCCAAGAAAGGCCAAGAAAAGCAAAGCAACGCAAAGCAAAGGAAAGGAAAGCAAAGCAAAGCAAGGCAAGGCCAAGCAAAGCCAAGCCAAGCAAAGCGAGGCCAAGCAAAGCAAAGCAAAGCAAGGCCAAGCAAGGCCAAGAATAGCAAAGCAAAGCAAAGCAAGGCCAAGCAGGGTCAAGCAAGGCCAAGCAAAAGCAAGGCCAAGCAAGGCCAAGAAAAGCAAAGCCAAAGCAAAGCAAAGCAAAGCAAAGCAAGGCCAAGCAAGGCCAAGCAAAAGCAAGGCAAAAGCAAGGCAAAGCAAGGCCAAGCAAGGCCAAGAAAGGCCAAGAAAAGCAAAGCAAAGGAAAGCAAAGCAAAGCAAAGCAAGGCCAAGCGAGGCCAAGCAAGGCCAAGCAAGGCCAAGCAAAGCAAAGCAAAGCAAAGCAAAGCAAGGCCAAGCAAGGCAAAGCAAGGCCAAGCAACGCAAAGCAAAACAAAGCAAAGCAAAGCAAAGCCAGCAAAACAACCGCCCTTTTGCCCCATCCCCTGTGCGCCTGCTCAGCAGGAAGTGGCATTCCCGCACCGACTGAAGCTGTCTGTCCGGCTCCTGAACATTGGCAGGTTCTCACTGCCTTCGCAGGTTGGCCACAAAAAGTGGCTTGACTCTTTTGTCTACCGCTGAAAACGTTCCCAAAAACGGCTAAAGTCCAGAAACTCTGGCCAACATAGCTTAAAAAGGCTTTGGCTTTTGTTAAACCCTTTGTTTGCAGGAAGCGGCTCAAGTCTAGTATAGCATGTCCCACCAGAACTCCTGGTAGCTCCTTCCGACCAACTGAGCTGCGTTCCCGTAACTTCTGTGCCCGTCGCCCTCCCAACCCCGGCAAAAACTACCCTTGGGCTTGGGGTCGTTGGCTTTTGCTGGTCTACCAGGCGTAGCAGCAAAATCGCCCACCCCAAGTCCGGTTCCATGTTCGACAAAGGCCAAAGCAGTTTTTTCCACTGTGGCAGAGACTTCAGCCCGGTCGTTCGATTCCCCCAAGAATTTCGGAGGTTCGGCTCCTGGAGATGTTTTTGGATCACCTCCCTCACGGTGTCATCGATGAGCCTTCGAATTCGCGGGGGCACGTGCCAAAGGCCCAAAACACAACTTCAAAGCAGCCCTTCACACGCGACGTGTTTCTGGTTGCTTTATTTGTTGCGTTCTGTCTGCTTTCTGTTTTTTTGGCGGCCCGAAATCAGAAAGAAAGAAGTCTTGCTCGACCTGGAACCCCATGAATCCCATGAAGGAAGACACGAAGACAGGTGGGCCTCTGATGCCTCTGCAACCGGAGCCGGGCATCTCAGTGGCCCTTTTCGGGCATAGGCGTCCTCTTAGCGGAAATAGATGGCCCTGGTAGAAAAAACACCGGGTAAACCAGGGCCACCTTTTTTTACCTAGTGTCTATCAAAACCAAACAGCCAAAACTGCAATTTTTCTACCAAAACCACCAAACAGGACACCTATGCTTTCGGGCTTCCGTCTCGGCGCCGGCCTCCGGGCGCCAGGCTTGAGCCTCACCGCCGGCGCCAGCTGCCGGGCCATCTCCGCGCTCTCGCGGCGGGAGAAGGAGAAGACGATGAGCGGCAGCTGCCCGTTCCTGGCGCAGAAGAAATCGCAAAAATCGGACCCGCCAACTCCCGTGCCAACTCCCAATTGCAGAAAATGGAGATACGGCGCAATGGAGAACAAAAAAGGGGCACCAACTCCCAAGAAAGGGGGTACCAAGCGCCAAAAAAGGACTGTTGGGCCTGGTGTTTTTTGTAGCAACAAGGAGAACGGGGATTGTTGGCCTCCATTTGCTTCTTTGCGCCCTGGAAAAACTAAAAATAATTCCAGTAGTGAAATCGAATCCCTTTAAAACCAAGAAAAATAAATATGAAATAGTTTTAACCAAATGGACGACTTCATGACTTCAAACCCGCAAAAAAAAGGGTTACCAACTCCCACCAGCTAACATGGGTTTGTGCACAGACCCCTGTAGAAAGACTACTTTCCTCTTCAAAAGGGCCTTTTGCACTTCCATGTTAGTTGTTGGGAGGGTACCAACCGCCAAAAAATGGGCACCAACCGCCAAAAAAGGGGGGACCAACCGCAAAAGGGGCGACATGGCTGTGGGTCAAAACCCTGTACGCCAGGTGAAAATACAAAATAGGTTGCAGATAGATGGATGTTCATCCACCCCAAAATGGAGCCATAGGTTATGCCCCATGGCCAAATGACTTCAAACCCACAAAAACGGGGTACCAAGTCCCAAAAAAGGGGGCACGCGCGCGATTCTTCGGAGTTGGTACCCCTTTTTGTGGCTTTAAAGGGAAATGAAAAGGAACAAACACAATTTTTGGGGCCCCCCACAAAAGACACACCAATTTATCTAAGAACAGATGTTACGGTGAATGCCCGGAAAATATTGCAAGTAAACGTACCATCACCCAAGCACACCATCACAACTTACAGAAATTGGAGGGTGTCCTTTCAAAGTTGGTTGCTAGTGTGTCGGATGTGCAGCTACGAATCAAAAAAAAGAGGGAAAAAAAGAAAGAACCTTGCTACATGGTATATATATATATACCCTTGTCCTCTGGGAGCATCGGTGCGCGGGCAGATCCAACTCCAGGTTTGGGAACGAGACGCTTAGGGTCCCCCAACTTTTTTGGGGATGGTTGAGTCCTTCCACATGCTTGCCACCCAAAACGGATGGATACCCCTATTTTGAGAACACACACTTAAACTCCAAATGGAGAGTGCTAATCTTTCGAGTACAACTGATGAGTCTCGAGTACAACTGATAAGTCTCGAGTATGATGAGGTTCGACTCGCATAACGCTTGGCTTCCCTGTAGTTACTTTAACAGGGACACACAGAAGCAACGGCAGTTCAGGGGGGGACCAAAAGGACATTCAGAACAACACAACCATCTCGGCAGGTACGTCTGACTGATCAGGTCAGATATCAGCGCAGGTCACGACCCTCTTCGTTGGGTCACCGGTCGTGACTGCGGGTGACCCCCCTGCTGAGAAACCGAAAGGGTGGTGACAGGGCATTCTGTCACTCCGCACACACACGCCCCTCAATGAGGGGCGAGAAGTCTCCTTTTCCGCAGGAAGATCACATGCTCAACCCCGTGTCCCTATCGTTGACCAAAAAATCCACCGCGGCGAGGGGAACGAGAAACAGCCCTAAACCGCTCAGAAGACGGGAACGAGAGATCACCACGTTGAGCATTACGAGTGTCGCCATAGAGGACTGAAGCGAGTTGTGAAGCAGTCGAGCGATCACCATGAGAAAACGGAGTAGCATAGGTGAACGTCTCCTCAACTGGAATGGCATCGGAATTCCGAACTTCACCAAGAGATTGATCATGCGAATGATGAGTTGTGAAGGACTCCATTCGAGACAGAATGCGCTGGTATCCCTGATGCTGCCAGTCGCGGATGGTCCATGCCTGACCGTGCTCACCAGTGCGCCCATTGGGATCAGTCACCCGCTGCCATTCCCGAAAAGAATTGTCTGGTAGATCAGGTACAGTTTCTCCGTGGTGCCATCGCTGAGGCTGTCCTGCAGTGTAGATCCGCACCCACTCCTGATCCTGCCAGACCGAGTATTCGAGCCATGGGTGCTGCTTCGAATCCTCGATGTCCATGTCGAAGTAAGAGGCAAGGCGTATCGCGGGCTCCGATCCAGCTGATAGAGGAACAGGCACCATGCACAACCATGTACAAGCAACAACCAAGCAAGGTAATGCAAGTGTGAAACCACCCTTATTTTGTACGCTACCCCACTCGCGTGCGTCTAGTCCTCATTTAGCTCGAAGATAGGTCTCGCCTTGGCTTTGCAGCTGTCGGAAGGATTAACAGGCCGGTATGGTTCGGAGACCCCAACCGTCTCCGATGGTGTGATTCCACGTGATGCACGTACAGGTTGATGAAGTTGGGAAGCGTGACGTGCGCGAGCTGTCAGTTGTTGAGAAATCCCCTCTTGGAGACGAGTCAGTTCTTCGGTAGAGAAATCCGCCGCATCCGAGGATCTAAGGATCGCTTCTAACATCTGCGGTGACATACTCAATGCCGCGGATTGCGTGGCCACGCTGTGATGATCAGGAAAAGACATAGAATCAAAGTCATGACCAGCTTGAGGGGCAGCGACTCTCCGATAGCCCTCTGTGGCCCAGTCTCTTTTGTACCACATGGTGACATTGAGCTGCTCACCGTCTTGGTCCGGGTTGGGAGCATAGAACTCCCTCCACTCTCTATACGTGTGCGGTGGAGGTGGAGCATCATGTTCTTCATGTGGAGTCCATGATCCCGGATGAAAGATCTTGACCCACTGGGCATCTGGTTGTTGAGGATCCGGACACCATTCCAGCCACGGCATGACAACGCAAACCCGGAAAGACAAATTGATAGGTACGGCTGCAGACAACAATTACTGAAAGAGACACAACTACCACAGTGCAAGAAATCACTTTTGCAGCAATGCACGGCTCCGGTATCGAAGTCAATCTCCCGAATCGAATTGAACTGAACAGACTCCCCAGGAAGGCGAGGACGAGCATCAGCCACCATCCGAGTTGGAGGATGCCGATGAAGAGGTCAATCCAGCGTACATGAGGTCCGGTGCGCCCGAAGCAAAAACTGGCCGCGCAATGCTAGGGTGTGGGCGACCCAGCCGTTGGTATCCCCTGGTGACCCAGTCTCTATAATGCCAAGTATAGAAGGATGCATAAGATACCGGCTGCGAAACAGCACCTGTATTGGTGCCGCCTGTGCTATCCCTCGGCCAATACACTTCGAAGTGGTAAACCTTGCGCCATTCCCGATAGGTGGTTGAGTCATCCGGGGCTGGTCCCAAGGTGTTCTCGGCGACTGGATGCCACGGACCCGGTACATAGATCCGAATCCATTCTACACTCGTATTCGCGGGGCCATTGACGATGTCGTAGTCAAAGTAGCGAGGCAGGACCCATCGTGCTGCGCTATACATTGTACAATTGAACATATCAACCAGGCAAACCGCTCAGAGTCAAATGAAAGCGGCGAACAACTGGAGACGGAACGCACAACACCAAGCAAGACAACTCAACATGGAATCGCACACAAAGCAAGCACAACCGCGTCATTTTATCCGACATGTTGCTCAAGTATCACTCCGAATCGTTCCAAGGATCATAGAATGGTGGTGGTGACGGCTCTCGCCACGCCCCATCCGGAACCGATGAGTCCACCGAGGAATTGGCGTCTGCATTCACGAGCATCGCGAGTCCAATGGCTGGTAAAGGAGCTCCAAGTCGTTGATACCCTCGTGTTTGCCAGTCTCGGTACTCCCACACGTGGTAGGACACATACGAACTGGGCGTGACAATGGGATCCGCTGTTGTTCCTCCGGTGCTGTCTTCGGACCAGTACACTTGGAAGCGATATGACCTGCGCCACTCCCGATACGTGGAAGCGTAGACCGGGGCGAGCACTGGAGCATCATCGGGAACGGGTCGCCACGTGCCCGGTGAGTAAATTCGAATCCATTCCACTCCTCTCTCGATCTGGTACTCGAAATATTGAGGGTTCATAGCGGCAAGACAGGCTATCGCGCGGCCGCTAAAAGCAATCGAAAATCTGCGGCGAAGACACACATGCAATGACAACCGCGCGCAGCTGAAGTGTCAACCAAAGCAATGCAAGGCAACTTTTCAAACTCAAGGTGAGACACAGCAGCGAGGTTTGTAATATACGACTTATACGACGCCTAAGCTTCACCGCCGTTGATGCCGCGCACACCTGCAATGATAATGTCCTGGTCGTCTACGAGCACAAGGGGAAAGACATTTCCGCCCATGGCGCAGGAAGGCATGACAGTAATGCTTGCAATTTGCCGATGGGGACAGCGATGGACGGTCAGCACGTTTGGAGGGGAACACGGTAAAGGGCCGCCGAGATCTCCGCGGTGCAGAAGCGGATGCTGTCCGAGATCGTTTGGATGAACGCCCTGGACTGCGTAGCTCTTCATCACGGGAATTGTCAGTGCTGTAGATCGAGCGGCGTGTGCGCTGCGATTTCGATGTGGCAGGGCAGGATTGTCCGCGAGGAGCTGAGATCGAGGGGCTCCGTACTGAGGGCATAAACTGTGGGTGTAGAATCACCGGTGGTGGTGGCGGTGGAGGAGGCGGAGGTGGAAGAAGCAGTGGGAAACTTGGTGGGGGCGGAGGTGACGTAGTCTGCCGAATGGGTCTGTCAAGCAGGGCACCAGGTCCGTGAAACTGTAACCACGTCGGCTGCGCTCCATGGGTCCAAGTAATGTACGTCTGTACGACTTGTTCCGACATGATTTGAGCAACTCAGTCATGCATTCAATTCACGTCAGCGGCAACACCCACAACGGCAAGCAATATTACCCTGGTAAAATGCCAGTCAAGTGCAAGCAAGCAAATTTCATGTGATCAATAATGACTGCAATCCCAACCGTCGCAACAACCTGCAGCGCTAACCGAATACACCGCCACGGCCTACCATTTAGTCCTCCTGTGGTCGCTGTTGCATTTGATGACCGGGTTCCTAGCCGCGAGCCTCAAGTTGCTGATAGACCTTCCATGCCTGCTTGACTTCC